GCACTAAGCGCATGCCCATCCACTCCATGGTTCTCCTTAACCCAGGGCACAGGAAACATGTTTGGGCCACTGAGGTCCTTTCTCTCCTTTTGAAAACCAGACATCTCTTTGTCCCCAAGGAACAGAGAAGGAGGCCTGTTGCTAGGCCACCAGAGCAAAAGGCTATATCAAGAACAAGGCCATCATCGACCCCTATACTTCAGCCTTACTAAAAACACAGATCTGTGATATCATTTCATGTTATATCTTGCCCCATCTGGAAAAAGTGCTCTGTTGGGCATGTTTATCTTATACCTCTTACTCTGGGGGATCCCATCTTATATTGGGCTCAGCCCTGGGAGATACTAGGAATGCCTTCCCAATGTAACCTCCATTGGCCAATATGTTAAAGCCCCAGGGACATTCTAGGCCCTTCTCAGACCCACTCAGATTTCATGAAGTGAATACACCTGGATGATTCTGCTGTGTGGCCAGGCTTGGGAAGATGTGTTAGTGCCTAGGCAGGCTCCACATTGGCCCTCCATGTGAATGGCTCCATATGTCTGCTGAACACCTGGTTACCACTCCTTTACCAAAGCCACCAAATTTCCACCAAATACCTACAAATATAAGGCACCACGTTAGGGGTGCCTACAATGGTGGTCTCCAGAGGATGCCCAGCCACTATACAGAAAGAGAACTGGCAGAGATGGAAATAGCAGGGCCAATGGCCAAGTCACAAGTAGAGAAGCACATGCAACCTACTAGAGAGAAGGTCTCTCATTTTTTGCATGACAGGTTGGGTGAATTTTGCCTCCCAATGGTGAGACTTGTATTGGACAGAGTATAGCTAGGGCAGGGAGAGCAAACAGGGACAGCACTCTTCAGGGACAGAATGTGGAGGGTAGGGAGAACAGCAGGCTGGTTGATGGAGGAAAGTCAAGATGAGGAAGCAACTGAGAGATGAGGCTGGAAGGTTAGTCTGGGGCAGACATGTAAGATAGGTCTGCAGCTCAGTTCTAACAGGTTTTGCTTTCTTTCTAGCTTAGGATAATGCTATTACTTCTACTCTATACAGCTGGAAGAACAAGAACTGGGTCTAAATCTATTTGTGGAAATAATTAAGTCACTCATTCCCTATCTTGGGAGAACAAGTGCTGAAGGGCAAGATTACCAGGGCTGCTCCTGGGCTCTGTCCCATTTCCAAGCCTCTGCTGATGGGATGGGCCTGGAGTATAAAGCTTGCTCAACTAGCAAGGGAAGCAAAGTTGCTGTTCAGCATGTTTTTGTGGTTACTTATCTGACATATGAGAATCTACCCTTTCTAAGGGTAAGCAACGAATTGGCTTTGAGTACAATTAGGCCACAGAGAACCTTTCTCCAGTTCTGACACACTGTGTGTTTTGGCTTAGGACAAAGTAATACCCCTCTCCCTTTAAAGTACAGCAAAAGTTGGGTGCATAAAAGTGGGGTTCTGGTTGCCTTGGGGTCTCCTTTCCACTCTGATTTTCCACCACTCACAGGCTGTGATTCCAGGTGCCAGGGCCCCCAAAGAGTCAACAGTGGCTAAACCACAGCTAGAAGAAAGATTACCTCAGAAACTGGGCGATCCTGGCCATGATGGCCCCAGCCCCAGGCTGAAGCACATTGCCTATGAACAAGAGAAGTCTTTATTTAGTGTCCAGGTGTCCTGGGTACTAAGGTACAGCTGTGAATATGAGCCCTCAGCAGGCTCATGGAGCATGGCAAGCCAGCCACACAACAGCTTGTCCTGATCACACCAGCCCCAATGCTGGAGGGTCCAAACAGCACTGACTGGGCAGATGTTCTGCCCTTCAACATAACGTAGACTAGGCAAAGAGGAACACAATGCAAGATGTGACAGTTAATGGAACTGAGCCTGTGGGTGAGGGAAATGAGATTGTGAAACTGCACACCTCCCGGAGTGTCCTCTTCCAAGTCCTGTTGTCACATAGGGAGGAGAAACACTGATTCCATTATTATATTACTTTCAAGGAGAGGTGCAGGGGTGGGAACGGGTGAAGTTCCAGGCCTCAGGAGCAAATTCAGTGGGTCAGTTCTCCATCTGTAAATGAGGTGTGGAATGGAGATGGGTGTTTGGGGGGGTAGGGTGTGAGGGGAAGATACTGTCTCTCTTCTGTCCTGGCATAGACAGGATGTCAGTGAGAGGAAAGAATCCGGGGTCTCCTGCCTCCCAGCGTCTCCTGGGCTTTAGAATATCTCCCACGGAACATTGTTCTCCATGGCACTTAATACGCAGTGCCGGGGGTGGGTGCCCAAGTGTTTGGGACTGGGGTAGGCTGGCTATCAGGGGTGCATCACAGTGAGCTCAGCGGGTCCATCGCCCTTCCCCTCAGTGAAACTCGGGTTCGGAGGTGTGGGAAGGCTGAAGACACAGGAAGGCGGGGAGGGCGCAGCACAGGGTCTGGAGGCTGGTATGCTCACCACGGAGATGTCCCCCAGCTGCTCCGGCCTCAGCTTCACATCCTGGAGAACCCGGGTCAACACCGCCGACAGAAGCTCGTCGGGGTCGTGTCCTGCAGAGCGGTGAGCGTCACGCATCCCTACCCCAGGGGGACAAGGCGACCACAGCCCGGGTGCCGACCGCCTCCCGCTCCGGGAAACCGAACAGATGACCGGATCCCTCTCTCCAGGGACCACCTTCCTCCCCCTCCCCCGGGCTCCCGGCCCAAGGATTCTCACCTTGAAGCCACCGCGGCCGGCCTTGCAGATGGCGGTGCGCCGCCCGTGCACCACCACCACGTCCGCGGCCGAGGCCTGCGGGAAGCCACTGGAGCAGGGAGCGACCTGCAGTGCCGGGTCCGACTTGAGCCGGCCGTCCAGGTGACTTAGCACTACCTTCAGTCTCCACATCCTGCAGGTGGGCCGGATTGACCAGCCTGGGGGTTTGTCCGCAGACACTCAGTACTAAAAACCTGTGTCCCGCACAGGCGCAAAGCCGCCTCTCCGCCCCCAAGCCCAGCCAGGCGGACCCGCCCACCCCGCCCAGGTCCCGCCCACCTCGCTCAGCCAACCAGAAGGAGAACCGTGTGTGAACCGTCCTCCAGAGCCGGCCGGAGGAGCCGCCTCGACACGCCTCCAGCAAAGCCCCGCCTACCGGGGGCTGCTGCGGCCGAACAGAATGTGAACCTTTCTGAAGCCCCGCCCAGAAACGCACACTGCAACTCTTCCAGCTTTCTCAAGCCTCTTTGCAGCCAAAGTGGAGGCGAGACCCAAAAGCCTGTGGGGTTCTTGAAACGAACCGAACCACACCTGGAGCCTTTCCTCTAAGGTCTGCCCATTGCCCGCTGCCAGAGAGCGGAACTGCCAGGGGCGCCGTCCACCGCTTCTCTCTGCGAATGGAAATCGAGATCGGGACTCTGACTCCTGTTCTTTCCTAGTTGTATCTACTCTGCCCGGTGTCCCAGGACCCAAGCCTAAGACCTAAATACTTCTGAGACCCTCATTCTTACTACGAAGTGAAGTTTTTGCAGAAGAACGAGGCAACTTGAGATTTCCGGCCTTTTACAAAGATGCCCAAATGTAACAAGCTTTCTAACTATATAAGAGAAACCCCACACTTCTATCAATATTACACCTGTTTGTGTTCGCCTAATTAGTGACCACCTTCCCTCCAGGCATGGTCTCCACCAAGGCAGCGGGACCCTATATCCGGGAACTGCAACGTGCTTGACTCTTAGTTGGTGATCACTAAATACCTGTTGAATGAATGAATGAATCAGGGCTCCCAGGACTGGACTGTGTCCCCAACCCTAAAGAGCATGACCTGATGTCCCCTACTCACAATGGCAGGACCAAGGAAATTCTGTGTTTGCTCCAGACACCAAAGGGCGGGGCACCCTCTGAATCCCAATCCTGGGAGCCCTGTCGGACCCCTCTTTTTCAGGGCAGGGCCACAAGGTGCCCCAGACTCCTAAAGGGTTGCCGCTGACAGTACCTAGTCAGTCCCTACCCATTCTTCTACTGGTAGGATTGTGTTTTACCCAGCACCTCAGAGGGCAGACTGAGTACCTTCTTGTTCCTGCCCTGCCAATCCTCTAGGGCTGGACCTAAGAACCTCTAAATTGCTAGTGAAGGGATATCATTTCACATGATCCGATAGGACAAGGCACATTTCCTATAGCCTTGAAGTAGGGTCATTTCCATCCCCAGGCACCACTCCCACCCCCACCAGACCCTGGTGGGCAGGTCTGTCAACCCATCTGGATCTCAAAAGACAGGTTTTGGGTTTCCGTATCATCAGACCCTGAGATTGCTAGGACAGGTACAGGGTACCCCAACTCAGCACTAGTGCACAGGTCTCCAGATTCTAATACAAGGCAGAGCTTCTCCAACAGGGAGGAAGGTGGAGTATGTAGGAACACTTGGAAAGGAGGATGCCCAGCAGGCAATGCAACCCATCAGCCCCTTCAGCATCAAGGCTGGGATGTGGCTGCCATGGCTTTAGGAAGTTCCTGCAAGAGATCTAAACCACTGGCACCTTCCACAGCCTCCCTGTCCCTGGCCACAAGCAGCGTGCAAGCGTGCTGCCTCCTGCCACTATTCTTCAATTTGAAGGTCCAGGTTGGGGCCAAATATACAGTGCTGGTTGAGGAGGTGGACGGTGGCTGTCTCAGATGATTACCTGCAGAGCAAGGAATGTGACTTCAGACCAAGTTTGTGCTTAGCCTCTCTCCACGTAAGCTCAGGACTCCCCTGGCAGAGAGGAAGGGTAGGTGAGACCTTAAGATGCCAGCCTTCCCTCCACAAGGGCCATGAATGAAGAACCAAGGAACTCCTACTGGTGTCTGCACACACAATTGTGTGTGCACCTGTGTGGAGAATATGTGCCATGGTACCTAGCTGGTGGTAGGCTGGTGTTGTCCTGTGGGCTGAGGTCTGGGCCTGCCCACTATGGGACAAGGACTTGGTACCAGTGCCATACCCCTTGGGCTGCAGGTGCCCATCAGAAGTGACTGATCCCCATCAAGAACAAGGCAATGAAGAAGGAGTTCCCCAGCATCCTGCAGTTCATCACCGTCTGTGACTACACCAACCCCTACACAGAGTCCATGGTTCTGGACCCACCTGTCCTGATGATGGCTCTTGGACATGGGGTACCCGTATGTGTCCATCTGTCCATGCTCTTCTGCCACTGCCTTTTCCTGCAGTTGTAGGGAACATCTGTACTCTATTTGCCTCTCCATTCTTAGAGGTATTAGCTCCACAGACACATCTGCAGAAGCCAGGCTTTATCTGGACACTGCATCTTATGTCCTGCATGAACCCAGAGCTGGGCTTGGTGAGGTACCCTGCCAAGGTTGGCCCTTACCTAGGAGTGTCCCTAGAACATGTGTCTGCTGTGCAGGACAAAGCAGCTCATTTCCAGTCCTGACCACAGACACACCCCACTGATAGCAGGACCTGGGTTTGTTTCCTCTGCCCTGGTGACTTCCACAGTTTTGCTGCATCAAAGAACATTATCATCCCCACCCATGCCATAGCAGCCCCTAGAGAGAGTGAGATGCAGGCTCCCTAGAGCCAGCTTAGCACAGGGCCAGGCCCCTTGTTAGAAAGTCTGGGACCAAGATGAGCACGGTTGCTTCTGGAGCCAGAACTCAGCTGTTCACTCCCTGCCAGGGATGCTGTAGTGCTTCAGACCCACCAGGGCACTGCCCTGGCCAGTGTCAGCCTCCTGGGGTTCTCCTTCCTGCCTCCAGGCCCAGCTGAGTCACACCTGAGGGAGGGCAGGACTCCACCCTCCCTTAGGTGGGAAGAGGTAGCAGGGGAGCAGTGCTGAATTTTTCAGAGGCCTTTCTGGTGGTCAGGCTAAGGGGAAGAGAAATTCCCGCCTCTGCTGCAGACTTCTCCAGGCAGCCTGGAGAAGTGTTTTAGGGCTCTGTTTGTTTTGCAGCTGAGGGGTTTCCACAGTGTGCTGCAGATGAGCCCTTGAGGTGAGAAGTGCCTGGACCTTGATGAGGGAGACCAGCTGGGCCTGCCTTCTTCTGGTGATATTCCTGGGAAGGTGCCTGGCAGGGGTGGATGAGCAAGCCAACCCCAGCAGGCTTTGGGGGCTGGAAGCATTAAGCAGCAGCAGTTTTATTCTGCTCTGTTTTAGAAGTTAACTGAAACACATACTTTTTTTTTTTCATTGTGGAATAACATCACCTGTACTTCTTTATCCTTTTTTGTTTATTTTTTTCATGGTACTGGGGTTTGAACTCAGAATCTCATGCTTGGTAGGGAGGCACTCAACCATTTGAGGCATGCCTTCAGAGCTCCTCCCCACAACTGCCTTTTTTTTTTTTTTTTTTCTTGACAGAGAGGGTCTTGCCCAGGCTGTTCCAGAACTCACAATTGTTCTACCTTAGCTTCCTGGGTGCTGGGCCCCCAGACGTGTACCACCATGCACCTCTACTTTTCATAGATAACATGTAGGCTGATATAAGAGAGAACGACTTCTCTGTCCTTCTCTTGTTCTTTGATTTCTCCGTATTCTCAGCTATACTTGTGATCATCTCTTTTCTTGGTGGCTGTCATCCTGGCAAATAAAGTGATAGTTCACTGAGGATTTGATTTAAATTTTCCTCTGGTAAATGGTGTTAAGCGACTTTTCAAGTGCTCATTGGTCATCAGTGTGTTGTCTGAAGAATTGTCTATTGAGACGCTTTTCTCATTTTAAGCAATAGGGTTGTCTTGTTACCATTGAGTCATAAACATTCTTCATGTCTTCTAGACACAAGCCTCTTCTAGATAAATGACTTTCAGATACTTCACTCATTCTGTGGCCCTAGGGAATTCAGACTGAGTGGTAGAAGATTAGGTTGGACACCAGAGGTTGAGTGAACTCAAGGCAAATAGACTCCACAGAAGCCTGCTCTATGGTCCAAACCTTTGCCCTAATTTGGGGAGGAAGGTTGTTATCTGACCCTGACCCAAGATACACAGAACTTTAGAACAGGAGCAAAAATTCTTTATGGCCTGTTTTTTAACCAAGGCAACTGTTGCTTACTTTTTGAAAGTGTGAACCTGCCTCACAGTCAGATAAATAACCACACAAACATGCTAAATAGTGGCTTTGCTTCCCTCACCAGTTGAGCAAGCCGGATACTCCAGGCCCATCCTATCAGCAGAGGCTTGGGAATGGGGCAGAAACCAGGGCAGATGGAGCCCAGGAGCAGCCCTGGTAATCTTGCCCTGCAGCACTTGCTCTCCCAAGATAGGGAATGAGAGGTTTAATTATTTCCGCAAGTAGATTTAGACCCAGTTTTTGTCCTTCCACCTGCGTGGAGTAGAAGTAATAGCATTATGTGAGCCAGAACAGGAAGAGAAGCAAAACCTGTAGAAACTGAGGCACAGACCTAGCTTAGATGCCAAAGCATCACACTATCCCAGACTAACCTTCCAACCTCATCTCCCAGCTGCTTACACACCTTCAGCCAGCCTGTCTGCCTACTGTCCTCCATGCAGTACTCGTGAAGGGCTGTTTCTTTCTGCTCTCTCTGCCCAACACAAGTCTTGCCATTTGGGCAAAGTTTTCCTGACCTATCAGGCTAAAAATGAGAAACCTCCTCCCCAGTAGGTTGCATGTGCTTCCCTGCTTGTGACTTGGCCATCCGGCCCTATTATTTCAGACTCCGTTTGTGGATTCTCTTACTGTGTGGTAGACAGGCATCCTCTGGGGACCACCACTGTAGGCATCCCTAAAGTGGTGCTTCATATTGGTAGGTACTTGGTGGCTTTGATAAAGAGGTAGTATTAAGGTATCGGGAAATTAGGGCACCTGGAGAAGCTCAGCAGGCCTAGGAAGCCATCTGGCTACAGGGAATATGTAGAGCCTGGCCTGGTCAACTAGCTCAAGTCTGGCCACACAGTAGAATCATCCAGGTGTATTCACTCCCTGAGGTGCTGAGTGTGTCTCAGGAGGCATTGGAAACATCCCAGGGCTTTGTAGTGTTGGCCCACACAGGTTACTTTGGGAAGGTAACTTTAGCAGCTACCAGAGCTGAGCCCAATGTGGGAGCCTCAGGAGCCCCTGGAGTCAGTGGTGTTAGACATAATAGACCCCCTTCCAGTCATGGATGGTTATAAAGTGTTTTTGTTCAGGTGGCATCAGAAATGCGTCTTATGACATTGGCATGGTCTGTCACGGGTAAGAATTTCTTTCAGTTGGAGCTTAACCTGTGATGATCAAACTAATTTTCCTTGTGTCAGGTCTCAGGGGCCAGGATTTCAGGATTTTCCCCAAGTCCCTGGAGGCAGCTGGCTGGGAGTGTGTTCCCACAAATGCAGTCTTAGGAGTGGCCCCATCTGTGGCCCCTCAGCAATGGCTCACATCTCAGCAGTAGTGGATTAGGGCATTTGGCTTCTGGGTTTTCTTTACTGGAAATCTGTCAGACTGGGAAAATGTAGCACTTAGAATTCCTTCTGTGGTCCTTGTTGATTCTCCATGCTGTTGAGAGAGAAGTGGGAGTTTGATTCCCTAAAGCCAAGGACAAAACTCCCTACTGTCTAAATATCTGTTCATTTTACTGGACTATTGGCCCCTGTCCTCACTCTGAGACCAAGGAGGAAACTTCTAGCTGGCTACTGAGTTCTGGGGAACAAGAACAGACCTCTGTTGTGATTTAGTCACTGTCACTTCCATCCCTCTGTGACTCCACCTTTGCCTGCAGAGAATGGATTGTACAAGTTGTATTTTGCAGAGCTGCCAGGGAAGGGAAGGGCATTGTGGCTGAGGCTGGGGTGTCTAGTGGGTGAAAGGTTAGGCTGAGGAAGGCTTGGGCAGGTTTAGGGGTCGACAACCTAGGTCTGACGGACTCCCACTGCTTTTCAGATCCTCGACGGAGTGGTTTCTTGATAGGAGCATTGCTGGCCTCTGCCCGGTTCCAGGCTGACTTGCATTGGGTTGTCCTGACCTATGCCTTAGCCTCAGTGGGAAGACAGCCAATGTCCACAAACAAGGACTGTGGTGGGGCAAGAGCCACTTACCCCCTTCCCTTGCCCTTTGTTGTCCTTCATGTTCCTGTGTTACTCGGGGAGAGCATGTATGGGTGACATGAGCAGAAGGCCTGGAGCCTCCATGAATTTGTCAAGGTACTTTGAATTCAAAGCAGATTAGGGTCCATGATACTAGGATACTAAAGATTCGGGCCAGAAAAATACTGAAATCACAACCTGGCGGTCCTTAAGAGTATGAGTGGCATTTGCCTGAGCTTCGCCATTGGGAATGAGCTCTGGGGCCAGACTGCCTACCTGGGATGTGACAATTTACATCCTCCTAGCTTCACATTCTGAAGAACTACGGTCAACGCAGCTGACAGAAGCTCATCAGGAATGATGTCCTTTAGGGAGATGTGCAGCAGCAGTGAGCCCTGCTCCTTAATCCCCTCTCTAGGGAGACAGAGTGATTACAGCTTAGGTGCTGATCACACCTGGCTCTGGGAAACCAAGCAGATGAACAAACCCAGCTTGCATGGGCCATGTTCTTTCCCCAACTCACAGCTTCTCTCTGTGGATGGAAATCAAAGTTGGGACCCTGATTCCTGTTTTCCTTCCCCAGTATCCCAGCACCAAAGCTCAATACTCCCAAGACACCCAGTCCTACTGCAAAGTGAAGTCTTTATGGAAGAACCAAGTGACTTGAGATTCCTGGCCTTTTATAGAGATGCCCTAGTATAACAAGCTCTCTAACTGCTTAGTGAACATCTCACACTTCTTTTTTCCAATATCACACCCATCTGTTTTGACTAATTAGTCACTACCTTCCCTCCAGGAGGGGTCTCCACCAAGGCAGCAGGGACTCTGTATCTGGAGAACCTGCAACATGTTTGACTCTTAGTTGGTGATCATTAAATACCTGATGAATGAATGAATAAATGAATGAATCAGGGCTCCCCAGGATTGGACCATTTCCCCAACCCTAAAGAGCAAGTCCAGGTACCCCCTACTCCCGATGGCAGGACCATGTGTTATCCTCGGACCCTGGAGAATAGTTCTGGGTTTTCCCCAGACACCAAAGGACAGAGCACCCTCTGCATCCCAATTCTAGGGGCAGGGTCTAACTCTACCCTTTCCAGGGTGGGGCTACTGGTGCCTCAGATTACTAAAGGCAATCTTTAGT